GGAACTGCCGTGAACTCCGTGGCTTAGAAGAGCAAAGTGCTATATGTTTCTGAGGGTCAAGGACATGGACATGGGTGGCATGAAGTCCTAGAGTTGATAGGGCCTGCAGTCTCACCTGTGAGTGCTTGTCTAGAGTGCAGGATCCTGATCACTTTGGCTTTGCTGCGTCACCATGTGGGCCTCTCCATAGGGTAGCATTGTGTCATGTCGGCTGACTCTGTACAGTGTGATAACTAAAGAGACACTGAAACCAGGGGCCTGTGCTTTTTCTGTAGCGATAAAGCCTGCCACTTCTGCCACTGTCTACTAATTATAACAAAGTTATCCTCGGGGAAGGGAATCACCCAAAGGAAGTGCCACAAGCTGAAGGGTTTTCCAGAAAGTTGCTGCTGTCATTCTGCAGCCTAGAGCCCAAGAGCAAGGTGTTGGAAGGAATAGCTTCTTTGGGGGAGTCTGTGAGGGAGAGCCCCCTAATTATAGCTCACTCAGCTTCTGGTGATTTGCTGGCAATCCTTGGCATTCCTCAGTTTGTGAAAGGAACTTGCCAGGTTGCCTTTTCTGTAACCCGATGTTCTTTCTATGTGCATGACCATCTCTGTGTTCAAATGACCCTCTTTTTTACGAAGCTGATGGCCTTATTAGATTAGGACACACGCTACAGACCCCATCTTGACTACTCTACAAAAAGTTAACTTTTGAGCAAAGTTGCTCTTCAATGCCTCTGAAGGTCTTTACCATATTTTCGCTGTGTAATAGCGTCTAAACATATCCTTTTGTGGGAGTCATATTTCAACCCACAATTACACACAACTTTGAGCCCTGGAAAGTGTGAGAAGCTGATTTCCATGTCACACATGTTTACTTTAGAAGACAGTGGGAGGAGGGGACATTGAAGGGCCAGGCGGAGGAACACCTGATGAAAGCTAGGGTCGCTGGCTGTTGTGCAGTTGCTAGAGTACTAAGTTGTGTCAGAAATGCTCCATGAGCAGAGAGCTACAAAGAGGATAACCCAGTGTCCTTCTTTACACTCATTCTGCCCGCTTTATGCACATTTCCAGTTCCTTTTCTGGAAACCATTTAATGGGGTGGACTGATGAGCATAGAAGGGGCAATCAGGCAGTGTAACTGAGGCCTCAGGTCTGGATGAAACACCTTGCTTAAGACATGTCGTAGAACAAACCAGAGTGTGTGAGCCTGCAGAACCAATGCTGGAGATCTTAAAACATGGAGGCTAGAGCAGTACTTCTTGGTATCTGTTTGAAACCACATGAAACCAAGATTGACATAGTCCACAGGTTCGACATTAGGCTGTGCTAGAGTCCTTTGTGATGTTTTGCACTCACTGTGACCTAACTACTTTAATTAACAGAATAGCGGAGCATATATCTATATATATATAGAAGCTAGAAAAATTGCTAAGACATTAAGTAAACTAATAAAGTGTGACGTTAGGCACCATTCATAGCATTACTCACAGCCATATTTATAGATCGTGCCCGGGGGTGTTAACTCTGGAATGTCTTGGTGGATGATTTCCTGCCCATTATCATCCCATTTTAAACCAAGCATTGCAGAGGTGCAAGGCTAGTCAAGACGTGAGAACTGTGCATGGGGACAACAAAGAATAGAAGTCTTCCCTAAGAAATGCAGGGTGACATTTTTTGGATCCTGGAGAATGATATTTTCAGCTTTTAGTGACTCATCTCAAGGCTGTTGCTCAAAAGGAAGAAAAATCTGAAGTAGACATCTACACCACAGCCAAACTGAGTAGCTTCTCGATTTATATATATTCCATGTTTATGGTCAGCTTCAGTCAGTGTACCTACTGTCTTCACTACCAGAGTCAAGTCCCTTCTCTACCAAGGGGCTAATTTTTCCCTCCAGAGCCTGGCTGAGGGCTCATTTACTTTATAAAACTTTCTAGTGTCCCTAAAACTTCTTTAGTGGTCAGATCTCTCATTATTAAATGTCGCGCCCGCCTCGCCAGCAAGCATGACGCAACACAGACTCTTCTAACTGCGGTTTATTCAGGACCCTTGAACAATCTTCTCACCCTCTCTCCCCGAGCAAAGCCAGCTCACAGCTTAAATAACCTCTGGGTAGCCAACCCCAGCAGGCCACGTGGGAAAAGCAGATAGGTCCAGAAACGTGGAAGCAAGCCAGATCCTTAGCGTTAGCCATATATGGAGTTGTTCATGACCGAGAGCACTCACCATCGGGAAGGTGGGAGGTGGAAACCAGCGCCATCTTTAAGGCGCGGCATTACACAGCTCTCTACAATTAAACACACTGCATTGAACCACAAAGCATTTCAATAACTTTCTTCCTCCATTGTAAAATTCACCAAGGATGGAAGAATTGCTTTTACACAATCACTGGAGGTTCAGGACCTACTCAAGAGCTTGAAATATATGTATATATGTATATATATGTATATGTGTGTGTGTGTGTTTGTGTGTATGTGTGTGTATGTATATGCATATATATGATTATTATATGATTCTATATATTACATCAATAGGTATTTAAAGGGTAGTCATTTGTTTAGGAATCATACTAAAAAGGAGAAGCACAAGCTTTTGTTCAATTTTCATATATTCCTTAAAGATACCATAAGAAATGGTACATACTAGGAAACCCAGTTTAATATAATACATATATTCACATCATGTCTCATTTCGGAAAGCATCTGGGTACTTCTTTTGTATGGCATCAAAAGAGGAGTTGGTTTGGGGAACTGCCTTGTGTTTTAGACAAGGTAGCCTTGGGCCTCTGCTAGACCATAGCTAAAGTTTTCTTGGTCTGAATGATAAATAAGCAGAGCAAAAGAAATAAAAATGTCTCATAGCTTCAGGATAATGAAAGGAAGAAAGAAACCCAACAATTTAAACAGCTCCCAAACAGAAACAAGCAACACAGATCATCTTTTTGCATTTGCCGTTGAGAAGAGGTGGCTGTTACAACCCATATTTTGGTGTCTTATGTTGCAATTAAGGTATAATTATTCATGGTCTTGGACAATCTCATATCCCAGAATGCTGGCAAAGTGTGTGTGTGTGTGTGTGTGTGTGTGTGTGTGTGTGTATCACAAATTTTTTTAGATTGTGGCCAAGATGATCAAGATGATGTGTTGATGTGATTAGATTGTTCTGTTGGCTGTGTAAAAGAGCAAGCCTCCATGGCATGGCAGGATCACATGGTGAGGAACTGTGGATGGCCTACTAGTTGAGAGTGGTCGCTGACTGACAAGCATAAGCAAGTAAACCAGTGTCCTGAGTTCCACAGTCCCAAGAGTGAAATCCTGCCAGTAGTCACATGGGTTTGTGAAAAGATCCTGAGCTCTGTGAAGGGATGGTAATCGGGTGAGGCTATGAGCAGTGGCCATACTGGGACCCTGGTTCCTGAAAGTGGGAGAGAGGAACAAATGAATGTTGTTTTAAGACACTGGGCCTGTGAGAATGAGTTATACAACAGTGTAAACAAATATAATAAAACATGTTGGCCAAGTCCACTTGTTCATTTCCCAGCTTCCCAGACCCAAAATAATCACACAGAAACTATATTAATTGCAATACTGTTTGGCCAACAGCTTAAGCGTATTTCTAGCTAGCTCTTACATCTTAAATTAACCCATTCCTATTATTTTATATTTTACCACGAGGCTCATGGTTTACCAGTACTGGTGCAGGAGCGTCTTTCTCCTATGGCAGCTAAATGGTGCCTCTGACTCCACCTTCTTTCCTCTTTTATCTGCTTGGAATTCCTGCCTTGCTCTATTCTGCACTGCAATTGACCCAAAGAAGTTTCTTTATTGACCAATGCTAGTCTCAGCATACAAAGGGGACTCCTATATCAAATACATGGTAGAAAGGCGTTGCTGAAAGACCATAGTTCTAGGCACAGGGAACTTGGGGATTTCCCTGGGTACCATTGAACTTACTCTGGGAGCATCAACTAAGTCACGAAACTTTTGGGGCTTCAGTGACCTAATATGGGAAGTGAAAGCCTCTTAGAGTTTTACTGTGGTCACTTCCTAGTGAATGTGTGCTAAGTGCTACGGGACTTGAGCCACATCAAATATGTTATATATTATTACCATGTTCTTTTAAGTGGGCAGGCATTTAATTCATATATTTATTTTTGCCATTATTGCATAATCCTCTAAACAACATCCTTGGATTCAGAGTAAAGAGTCGTGAGTGTCAGAACCAGTTGAGGGAAGTGCTTGAGAAAGCCCTTCTCCAGATTTTCAATACCCAATGGCAATTTCATCCTCAAACAGAAAAGAAAGACATGACGAACTCCAAAACTGAAGAAATGGGCATGTTATAGTCTTGAGCACTTTTAGCTTGCCTGGACTCCTATTTCTAGAGCTCTACATGGTTTGGAGAAAAGAGTAAACCTGAGTGTCTCTAGAGAGGGCCAGCACACACCCCAGGTAAGGGTGCCACATTGGAGGTGGCACCTGCTTGTCACCTCCAGGAGCAGCTCTACACCTGCCTCACCTTAGCTGCCCTGCTCAGTCACGGGTGAACGAGGAAAGGAAGGACAGTGGAGACACCAATTGCTTGGTTACCTTTGGGAACATGTTATTTCATATTTATTGTGAGTAATGAGCCTTGGAGAGGCAAGTCTCATGCTGCGCAGGGTAAATGGTAGCTTCCCTCCTGATCCCACAAGGGCGCTGTAAACAAAGGAGACTTCGGCTATTAATAGGACCTGGGTCAGGAAATGTTTCATGCAAGTATTAATAATCAATGTGCTTCACAGATAGTGTAGGGTAAAGTTGGTAATTATCATCCAGTAAGGAAACCAAGGGAAAAAAAATGAAGGACACAAAGACTTGACTTCCCTTGCTTTACATGTTAGTTGATGTGACCAGATGAAAGATTCATTACAAATCGTATTCCCCCTCTCCCTTCAGTTGACATAGGGGCACTGGGGCTCCTTCAGAGTCAGCCAGAGGAGGACAGTTAGTCATCTGCAAACTTACCACCTGCTGGAGGCAAAGCTGGGAAGCAGCTGCTGAAGCCAATCACTGCAACCTGTAGCAGGCTCTCCCTTCCCTGCTCTGCACTGCCCTGAGCTGGCTGTCCTCACACTCAGTCCGCTTGGACACCACGGCTGGCGGCTGTTGTCTCCGCACCTGTCGCACCTTCCGGGTTTTGGCAGAATGGAGTGAGGAGACAGCTGGAGTCATTGAGGCTCATCTGTTTGAAGGCTGCCCAAATGAAAAACAAGCAATCAAATCTGGTGAGTTTCATGTTTCTCTTAAGTGTGCGGCAATGCAGCTGTTAAGTTGTGTAGGAGATCAAAGGAGCTGTTTCCAGTTCAGGATGCCAATGCGTTCTTCCAGGCTTGACCCTTGATGGAGAGCTGTTAGCAAACTTTAGAAGGAAGTTGGAAAGGAGGATTATGTCTGTTAAACTCGGCTGAATTGTCGCGTTCCCTGTAAAGCACATTGAGTGCCCTGCTTGTTGATTACCCTGGGGAGATGGATAGTGAGCCCTGAGGTTGTATTTCAGTGATGAGAAAGGTGCATACTTGCAAAGCATTTATTAAAATAAAGTAATATGGTAATTGGGGTGATTGTTTATGAACTGTCAATTTCTTGGAGAAGAAAGATACATTCTGAAATATTTAATTAACTCAGTACAGGGAAAGAAATTAAGTTTAACCTTAGCTCCAAAGTTTGAAATTGTCTCTAAAATATAGATGTGAAGTAACTGATGTATTTATTGTACATCATGATGTAGAGCTTAGAGTCTAACTGATTGGAGCAAACAGAAAAAGGTGCAGTGATTATTTCTATTAGTGCATTAGCAGTGAGTTCCTAATTTTCTCATTCTTTTGGCTACAAAAGAATGTGAAATCACTCATCGTGGAATGCAATAGAGAAAGTGAATTACAATATTTGAATATTAAAACTTCTTAACTTAGACATAATTAAAATGAAAACTTAACATAGACCACATCAAAAATTTCTTTTTTACTTTGATCTGAACTAATCACTAGGATGGTTGTATATAGGTCACACTTTATGTTTTATTTGGCATGCTTTGAATTACCTCTTGATTGATTTTCTCTACTTAGATGTAGCAATTTTCAAAATGCTATATGGCTTAAACTAAGCAAGAAAATACGATGTGGAATTCATTTTGGTATTTTTCATGGTATTTGTACACAGAATAAAATCTATTTGGTTATTCTGAGACTTTGTTATCCAAACAATTGCTTTTGACGACTTTATTTCATAACTGTAAAAATTAATTCTTTTACCTACTATTGCTTTAATTTGCAAATGTCTTTGAGGACTGTTTAATGACTAGTTATTGGTCAAGTTTGAATTTTACTTTGACAGTGTTTAAGGGGCTTAAAAGGAAAGATAAAGTGAGTGTGGCCGAGGATCTTGAATTAAAAATGTATAAAGGTTAAACATCAAACACTCATGGTGGCATCAGAATAATTCTAAATTATAGCCCATCATGGCTATCAATCTTCCCTCCCACTAACTCCTGCTCTCCTCGATGCATTTTTTCTTCTGACACGGTTTTGATTTTCTTATTTATTGAAATGTTGCTTCTGTAAAAAGGTAGGTTTGAAGACAGGATCCTCAAAAGGTAGGTTTTTATCTCTTGTTCAAACCCGATTGCTTACCAAACTTCACATAAGTTGCTGGTTCAAATATTAGGCCTAGTCAAGATGATCATGTCAGATTACTGAGGTATTGCGTTCATTGATTATCAGGTAGAAAGCAACACACATGGTTGCAAGAAAAATAATGCTCTTTTTTTTTCTTAAACTGTATTATACAACAGTTCATCTAGCAAAGTGAATCCACAAAAAGTGCTACTCAGTTGTGGAAATAGTAGTAATCACAAACCCACACTAATTTTAACACTTCATGGGTGATATTTCTGGCATTCAAACTTTCAGGACAGCCTGCACTGCAAAAGTTGTTTTATTGTTCCCGTCTCACAAACTTTGAAGATTAATTTACACACATTTTTGTTTGGTGATGGATATGTAATTTGATTGTTAGGAAGATACTAATTATCCATTTTCTGCCTTCTATATAAAAGGCCCCCGATTCTATTATTTTGATGTCATTTAAATTTTCTTTCTCTCTCAAAAATTATTCAAATAAGTCCTCCAATATTTGAAAATTAATTTCACTAAACACTAGACTTAAAAATCTTCTTTATCAAAGTAATTGCAGTCTTTATTAGTATGGATGACAAGTCCTTTAAGAAAATTGCAAAAGCATGTACAATGTTCAAGTCGTGTTGTGCATCTGATTAGGTAACCGTTCTTTCAAGTTCTGTTGTCTGTTGTTAGTGACTACACAGCATTGTGTTAAGTAGATAAACCATAATTAATTTAACTACCCTTTAGGAATTTATAAATTCTTTTTATATTATGTAGATACTCTAAGATTACTTTAGTCTAATGTGTTTTGACTATTGAAAATATTGGTTCTCTGTTTCCCCAAATGCGGCAGACTTACCTCACTTGGAAAATGGAGAAAGGGGCTCCTTAGATGACTTCTACATCCTTGTCTTAATTTAAATGATAATCATTTAAAATTTATTTATTATAGTTGGTGTTGACCAAATTCTACAGTGATTCATTTACTGTACTCAATGAGCCACAAATACATCAAGAAAACACACTGTAAAGATTCTCCTTTGAAATCCATTTGAACTTTTATCCACAAAAGGAGTCTACTTTGTGTGTGTGTGTGTGTGTGTGTGTGTGTGTGTGTGTGTGCATGTGTACTTACAAACAACAGGATTAATGGGATTTGTTAAAATTCTCAAGGTACCTTTGGTTCTGGACTGTGTTTTCAAATAAGTTATACAATCGGGAGGGGATAATGCTTTAAAAAAGCCTATCAGTTATGAATTTAAAATAGCATCTTGCTAACAGCCCTGAACTCAAGGGTTCCTACCCTAGGAAGGAAGGTATGTTTAAATAGTAACTTGACATATTTCCAAAGGCTAGTACTGCGGCCAATCTGTTGTCTGTCCCTGAAAAACTTTTTTGGTACCTATAACTAGTACCTATAAGTGGCTCAAGGTTTGAATAAAAGAGGAAACCCAATTCATACCCCTTCTCAGGCTTCCCTCTCCTAAGCCAAGGCTTGCAGTTTCTATGAAAAGGGGGTCTGGATTTCCTTCCATTAGTCAAACACTAGTAGATTCTCCTAGATAGAAGAATTCCCCTTTCTAAGTCGGCCTTAGGGGTCAGGCTGTGTAAACCTCTGTGGAAGAGGATGGAAGACGCACAGGACAACAGCTTCCACAGCCCTGTGTGAAGTTCTGCAGGCAGTTAGGGAGAGGACGAACCATGAGTTAAAGGATTTGGACAGAGCTATTCAAGTTCAGGGCATCCTATTTGTGCTTTTCTGAAAGACTAGTCCTGAAGAGGTGTGTGTGTGTGTGTGTTCCTCACACAGAGCCCTTGTAGACGCGAGTGACGACCTTTTTTGAACAGAATGAGAAACCCTGGCGATTTAAGGAGAAGGAATACTTGGGGGAAACCAGCAGAGCTGAGGTGGTGTGAGCCTCTAGGAGGTGGTACCAAAGTTGCGCAAATTAGTCTGTCTCCCCCACAGCAGACTCTAGAAAGCATTTGGTCAGCACCCATGTGCAAAGTTGAGATCGGGGATCTTCAGTACCCTCTTATCCACATGGTTAAGCCTTGGCTAAACTTCTGAAAATTGATATATAATGCAATTCCATTCAAAAATAGATACATTTAAATGAAACCCAAAAGAAAACAGTTGGGGCATCTTCTGGGTGGTAATTTAGCTGAGGGATTGCGAGTGATTTAAATTATACTGATTTTCATCTAAAAAAGGATTTGGTGATAAAATTTTAGGGATCCAATGAAGGTTAACTTTAACTGGGGGGGGGGAACTAGAATAAGCCTTTTATTTGTTTGCCTTCTAATAATGTGACTGGAACTTCCCTTGCCTCTTTTGACTCTGTTGAACTCTGTGAGGTTATCCACTAAGAGACACCAACAGTACCAGTTTCCTTTTGAGTCAAACAGCCACCTTCTGGCTTGGCACACTGCTTAGGTCCACTGGGAAGGCGGGAGGGGTGGCTAGCTCATTCAGATATTCTCCATTCCTGGAGCCGCAGCACCAGAAGGCACACCTGAAACAACTCTCTTCCACCTCAGCAGTGGTCCCTCTTGATCCGGGTCAGGATCTGCTGGGCAACCAGGGTTATATGATCTGGGGGGGGGGCAGGTTCAGTGAATGTTTTTCAGAGTGTTTTCAAGATGTAACACACCCAGGGAGATTTGTTCCAGATGGATGCAGTGGGAAATGAAAAATAAAATAAAACCCCCTCCAAGCACAATATTGCTCTAAATATTTCTTTGAGGCCTCAGCAGGTTTTAAATCACTGGAAGATGTGCACAGGCCTTCTCTGCATCATTGTGCCTTTCCTCATCATTTGCAAGAAATTTTAGTGTAAAGAGCTTTTATGCATACATTACTCTATTCTTTTCCTGTCATTGGCAAACTTATCCGTCACATTAATAAATAGTATCAAGACAATGTTCACGATAAGCCATGGCGGTAACAGTGGTGACTTGTAAGTGTTTTAGAACACACCCGATGGCTTCTCTAGGTGCATCACAATTTCTGTGTCTATGCCCACGCTTTAAAGGTCACAAGCAGTGTTATGAGAGCTTTGTTTCAGAAGCACGAAGTGTGAAATGTGTATGTCATGGAGAAAGCACTTACATAGCAATTAAGGAAACAAATCTGCCTGACTGTGTATCTACACAAGCTGCTAGGGTGTTTGCCAATATTAAATCAGGGATTGTAAATTAAAAATAAAATCAAGCCCTGGAAAGTAGTTAGAGTTCATGTTGGATATATAGGTTTGTGTGTGTGTTGTGGAATATATGTGTGTGTGCATTGTGAGTATGTGTGGTGTGCATTTACATGTACACTCACAGATAATACACACAACATGTCGATGCGAATACATGTGTGCATGTGGTATAGATGCATGTGTTTTTATGTGTCTATAGAAGCCAGAAGGCAACTTGGGTGTCACTCCTCCTCAAGAACTGTCTACCTTGTTTTTTCTTTTGAGACAACGTCTCTTATTAGCCTTTTCTTCACAAATTAGGCTTTGCAGATCTTCGTGTCTCCATCTTCCCAGTGCTGTGCTTGCAGGTGCAGACCACCGGGCTTTT